AGACTTTGCATTTAGTTAATAACTATGTCATGTGGATCTTAAGTGTCTTATAGTTTTGTAACGGTGTTCTGCATCCAACAAATTACCGTTATCCAATTTCACATTTCCTTAACCACGGTTTTATTTGATTTTCCCTAATGCTACTAATACAAAGATCCATGCTGTAGAAAGTGATAAAACATATTGTGTATGTTATTTAAATACATTTATAAAAATATGCGTTTCACCAAAGGTTTTAAAAATTAGAGATGTCCCGATCCGATCACGTGATCGGGGATCGGAGCCGATCACGTGATTTTCAAAAGATTGGAATCGGGAGAAAAAGAATCGGGGATCGGGATTTTTTTAATTTTTTTAATTTTTATAAATACTTTTTTTTAAATGTTGTATTCAATATTACAAAATAAAAATGACCATGTTCAAGTCTTAAAGTCATCCTGAGGCCTTAGTTTTGGTTTCAAATTACACAACATCATGTATGTGTTGCTTCTTTGGGGCTTGTTTTCATAGACCTGGTTGCTTATTTCTCTCAAATCTGGCAACAGAGTGGGCAGGGCGCAGTGTCTAATTGTAGCAGTAAGCTAACGAGTACTGATAAGCTTTATTTTGTTTTGATCCAATGCTGCACAACTGAACTGATCCAATGCTGCTGTGAAAGAAAGAAGCTATATCCATGTTGGATAGAATATCCAATTTAAATAAAAAAATAACCTTAAGGGACAACTTGAATGCTTTTTTTCTTTTTTTTCTCTTAATGCATTGCATAAAGATCGGATCGGGAAAAATCGGTATCGGCAAATTGTCAAAATCAAATGATCGGAATCGGATCGGGAGCAAAAAAAGGTGATCGGGACATCCCTATTAAAAATGTTTCTTATGTTTGTCTTTTTGTAGAAGGTGTGAATGACGCTGGGGACTCGACGGCCCAAAATGGGACTTTAGTTGAAGTTAAAGAGGAAGAGGAGGAGACGGAGCAGCAACCTGTGGCTAAAAAGAAGAGAGGAGGAAAGAGTCAGGCAAAAAGTCAAAAGAAGCCCAAAGAAGAAGTCAAAAGTGAAGGTAACGAGACATTTTGGCTTTTCCATTGTTCCTGAAGGAGTGTGAATTATTCTTCCTAATTTTGCAAGGTCAAATTCAGCTTCTTTTATAAAATGTATCTGAGATCATTTGTATTGCCAAAATACTGTTACTCTAAATCTAACTAAAGCACAATATAGAAATATAAAAAAATCATTAACAACCTTGATTTGACTATTTCATTTAATCGTTTATTTGAACACTTAAAACATTCAAATGCGTCAAGCGTAACAGTGCCAGATTTAGCTTTGAGCTCATTTCCACCCGCAGTCCCTCACATAAAACATTTAAGAAAATTACATTTTAAAAACATAGCAAAAACAAAATACATGATATGCAAAAAAGTGCAAGAGAGCAAGCGCAGTTATGACATGGTAATACAATATAGCAGCAACGACATGTAAAGTGCAAGAGGAGATACCCCTGTGTTAAAGTGCATTTAGCGGTGATCGCACATCTGGTTGTTTCTCATCCGTTCTCTGAGTTGACCTTTAAAGCTATTGAGAGTGGGGAAGCTATTCCACAATGAGCTGCAGACTTCACAGTCTCCTCTGGTTTGATTGATGTAAACAAACTGCCACTGGTTACATTATCCTTTAATCCATTAATATGTGGTAGTGATGAGTTTGGTTATATCAGTGAAAGTGTAAAAATATTCTTATTAAATAATTATGGCGATTGTTTTGAAGTAGAAATGTGTGTCCTGCGAAGACACCAGAGCAACATATTTAAAGTAAGACTAAGATTAGGGTTCAAATTGTTTACCTGTACTTCAGTCAAACATCACTGACATCATTAATGGTTTCTCTCTGGTCCTTGGATGCTGAACAGAGGTGGTGAGGACGGTGGTCATGAAGGGAAAAGCTCCAGTGGACATCGAATGTAAAGCCAAACTGGGAAAGGTACGGCACCTCTGTCCACACGCCAGATATGAAACTCTTGATCCACATTGCTGGTGGTTCAACACCTGCAGAAACATCTGGTTACAGTTCCTCCTGTGGACATGAAACCATTTGTGGTTAACTTACTATACATGACTGTGTTTCACTTTGCTTTTGAATAACTGGGCGGTTTACAGCTAAAGCTCATACTACAAAAAGTATGACTGCAGTTATTGATATTTACTTTCAGGAAAAATGCGTTTTGTACAAAAAATACAGTGTAAAGAAAGGAAATGAACATTTTCAGGAATAATGTTTTTATTTCCCCGTTTAAAAAAATGAGATAGGTGCAGTTGCCTTTTATTAAAAATAAGTAACTGTTTTATTTCTTCTTCAGGCTTATGTGTACAGCGAAGGAAAGGATGTTTACGACGTGATGCTGAATCAGGTAAAATATTGAAATACTCTTTGATTTTCTTAATTTTTTTGAGTATTAATAACTGACTAAAAATAGTAAGTTTTATAGATATCACAAATGTTTGCCCAGTTTTCAGGTTGGATTTGAGAGCTAAATATATTTGACTATGCCTCTTCCGTTTGATTCATTTCTGACTATTTTCTCCTACAAAGTAAGGAATGTCCGTAAATAGATTTTCAGGCTCGCAGGCAAATACCTTCTGTCTCATGTTGCAGACAAATCTCCAGTTCAACAACAACAAATACTACCTGATCCAGCTGTTGCAGGACGACGGCTCCAAGGCTTACAGTGTGTGGGCGAGATGGGGCAGAGGTACGTTTAAATGCCCTTTATTTTAAATATATTTAAGTATTTGCATTTACACAGGGAATCAACCCAAGCCTATAGATTGGAACTAACTGATGAATAACTCTAAGATGGTTTCTCCATTGTTTGTCAGTGGGAAAAGTGGGTCAAAGCAGTCTGACAGCGTGCGGTTCAGACCTGCTGAAAGCCAAAGATATCTTCAGGAAAAAGTGAGATAAAAAAAGAAGTCATTTCTGATACATCTCATTAAATGAAGTTGAATACATTCTGACACTGTGTGCGATTCGCCCCACAGGTTTACAGACAAGACCAAGAATGAGTGGGAAGACCGAGCAACCTTTGACAAAGTTGCGGGGAAATACGACATGGTCTACATGGACTACAGCACCAATGAAAAGGCAAACAACCAACAAGTTATATTTCTCTTAAATATCATCCATTATTATTACGTATATTAATGTAATTCACTGTTCCAGGAGGAGAACACCACTGTGATGGATGCTGCACCCAAGAAGAGGATCTCCAAGCTGAATGAGAAGCTCCAGTCGCTCATGGAGCTGATCTGTGACATCAAAGCCATGGAGGAGTTTGTGCTGGAGATGAAGTTTGACACCAGGAAAGCTCCTCTGGGTCAGTCCGACAGAACCAACACCACATATCACATCATAACAGAACTTGATCAGAATTCCCCCTGTCATTTCTATCAGTAACGTGCCCACAATTTGATGTGATGACATTTTAAATAGAGCAAATACCAGAGGTGGGAAGTAGTGGAGTACAAATACTTCGTTACTGTACTTAAGTTCATGTTTCTGGTATCAGTACTTTACTCCACTTTTACTTTGACTTCTCACATGTTGGAGTACAAATACTTCGTTACTGTACTTTAGTACATGTTTCTGGTATCAGTACTTTACTCCACTTTTACTTTGACTTCTTACATGTTGAACTCAAATACCTGTACTTTCTACTTCTCACATTTTCCAAACAGGCTGGTTCCTTTAGTCTGAATGTGTGTTTGGTGGCGTGATCATTATTATTTAGAGTCATTGCGTGCCTATTGATTTGAACACGATCCGTGTATCCATCATTTCCTGGTCTTCTCTAAAGAAGAGGGACCAATGAAAACGTTGTCATGTTGCCGTTGTTCAGCATGGAAACATTCATTAGCTAACAATGACATTATTGTTCTATTAATATAAAGGGAGGTCAGGTACTCTTTAAAACAGCTGCTAGTTATGGGTACTTTTTACTGAAGTACATTTCAAAGCCTCTTTACTTTCACTTGAGTAAAGAAGTTTAGTCGGTACTTCTACTTTTACCAGAGTATTTTTAAACACGAGTATCTGTACTTCTACTTGAGTAAAGGATGTGTGTACTTTTACCATCTCTGGGAAATACACATTTAGAATAATATAAGCTGCTGCTGTTTGATGCAATAAAACAGGTTTTGAGGAGATTCAGCTGTTGAAAGAAAAGTGAAGAGATCGCATTATCCAAATTATTAATGTCATCGACCGTTTTCTTTTATAATAATGACCAAATAATCTTAAAGCCGTCAAATAACAAGATTTGAACACTGACTGAAAGTGATCTACCTTAACTCTGAAATACTCAACAGCTCTTCTCTTCTTTCTGTGAGGAGCAACAACAAAGTCTTAAAGCAACCACTGAACAAGTGACCAGTATGTTCAAACCTTTCATTGTTGTGCTACATGTTTCCTATTATTATTATGTATTTATTTCAATAACAAGGACCATGCATACAAATACATCAATCTCAGAAAAGAGAAGAGAGGGATTATGCCACATTTGAGCTAAAAGTCAAAGTCAATCTCAAAATATTTTTGTACACACAGAAAGATCGAAATACTGTTTCCCACAGTCCCGAGGTATAAAATAAAAATGAAATAAAGGATATACGATATATATATAATATGTATATAAATACCTATAACCCAACTTATTTACATAACTATATATACAGTTACAGGTCTGTGAGAGCCAGAAATCTTGTTTGTTTGTAGGTGACCAAATACTTATTTTATCGAGGAATTTACCAATTAATTCATTAAAAATCCTACAATGTGATTTCCTGGATTCTTTCCCCCAATTCTATCTCTCATAGTTGAGGTATACCTAGGATGAAAATTACAGGCCTCATCTTTTTAAGTGGGAGAACTTGCACAATTGGTGGCTGACTAAATACTTTTTTGCCCCACTGTATATAAATAAAATGGCTTTTCATGGACATCTCAATAAGCAATTTCACCTGAGAGCTCAAGTCATAAGGGCTGTTTTCACTGTGCTTCAGCACTTGGCAGTGGTTACTGAATTCTTTGTACATCTGAGCAGCATTCTCACTGTAGATTTTGCCATTAAGTCCACCAAACTCTAGTTTTTCCATCCTCTGAAAGTCCAGCATGATTTCAA